TTTAGCCCAATTTACTAAATTGGGCCCAACTTCCTAATTGGGCCTAATCCCATGATCCATTATCCATACTTGGCCCAAAAAGTCTTATTCATACAGTCCAGCGAAGGCCCAAGTCCAATTAGTCCATAAATAGTCCAAAACTCGAAGTCCATTTGACAAAGGTCCAACAGAGGACGTACGCGGGGCGTATTTTTCCAGACGTTGACCACCATCGGGTTGGTTGACCTAGTATGCTGGATGTACTGGATTTACAATGAGTGTACTCGACGGATTGCCAAAACCTTATTAAGTGCTTATTGGCTTACTTAAGCCCAAACTTCAGATCCAAATACCTAACACGCCTAGTACCTATAAAGTCATGAACTTTATCATTTTGGACGTCCATAAAGTTCTTAATGCTTGGTCTTAATCCATTAAGACCTTATTTTTCCATGCATGGGACACATTCAGCTAATGGGACCTCATTTTTTATCACTCAAGGTCCCTTCAAGAGTCTAGAAGGACAACCCTTTTGGTCCAAATCACATCATGCACCACATTATGGCTTTTTGGGACAAGAAATGATTATATTAAACTAAAATGGTGAGATCTATACGTATATGCATAAACTTTGGAGCTGTATACCTTCTGGAGCTTCTTGGGCACAAGCTAACTTCAAATATACAAGCTTGATCTTCTTTTCCAACTCTTTGATGCAATACCTTCTTCTTAAAGCACTCAAGAACACACTTAATAAGCTCAAACAAACAAGGGAAAGGCTAGGGTTTGGGGAAGACAACTATAATCTGTGGAGGCTGAGGTAAGGGAGGTTTTGGTGCTCATAATGTTGCTTATATAGGCCCCAAACAGTAAATATTAGGGTTTCACCCTGACATTAGTACGACCAACATATACAAGTGTACGCCCGACGTACTAAGGAGGACCTTAGTATGCTTAGCGTACTCTTATGTACGTGTATCGTACTCCCTCTTGGCCCGAGCTTGCAAACTTGGCCCATAAACTTATCTTGGCTCTTAACTCCCAACCCCAAGGACCATAATTGACAAAGTAAAGATAGAAGAGGGTTTGGAAATACCTGCAAAATCTCGGGATGTTACACATAAACTATCTATAAATCCAAAATAACATCATCCAAAACATAAAACAAGAAATACTATGTGTCAACGTTTTTTTCCTCGTTGTTGACTTGGTTTTTAATCGAGCAGATAACGTCTCCAATGGCCATCACAAATGTCGGATTTTGAAGAAAATAATTCACATCAACATCGTACAATTAAGTTACAATCATATTAAGTCATTAACAAATTAACAAACTATCAAACCATCAAACCACCAAATGAATTAAGTCGGTAACAATTTAAAAAACTATCGAACCAACAAATCAATGAAGTCTTTAAGAATTTAACAAACTACCAAACTGCCAAAAATTACTATAAATACATCAAGTTCTTAACAATATAGCAAAGCTACCAAATTCTTTAAGATTTAACAAGTTCCTGTATTGGTTACGGTGTTTGTGACTGTAACTGCCATTGGGATGGAGCACTTGTACCCAGTTCTGAAGAAGGTTTAGGCCTGATGCCTCTTACATGCCCCTTTCGAGCACCCAACACATTCTTAAATATTGCGATCCAATCAATGGTGTATGGATCACCACCAAAGTCGGCTATGTGATGAATCTGTACAACAACCTCAATAACTAAGGTGTTCTGTATTTCATAAAGATTGTCAATATACGTTAAAACTAACAAAAAAAAGCAATCTACTTCATTTTTAAGTAATAATAACGAACGTTGCCGGTGATACCAGGTCATAATCGGAGGTGACATTCGACAATGAAGGTGACAGTCGGCTTTGGAGGTTAATTGTCAGTGAAGTCGGCTTTGGAGGTTAATTGGTGGTGGAGAGCAGTGGCGTCAGTGGTGATGTCGTAAATCATCGCCAGAGAGAACCATTGGAGAGGCTTGACAGATTTTACGTTGTCTGGGATGAGGAAGCTAAACAAAAGGGGTAACCCTTTAGCGGTGCCACTAATAGTGGCGACTTAGAGGCTATTAGAGGAGACAATCTGGAGGGAACTCAAGGTGCCTTTTCTGGAGATTATCGACCATTGCATCAGGTAAGAATCATATGCCAAGATTTCGTCCAATGCGAGTAAACAGATCGACACCAATATCGATGATATGTCACCGCTAAAGGTGTCGTCTCTATTGTCTTCCATAGGAAAAAACCCTATCTGTTGGATCATGTTCCGAATAAAGGGTTAGGATTGAAAGTGGTGTGTCTCCGATGGATCTCCGGTGTATACCTTTAGTGATGGCATTTGCGTTTTAGCGGCGACACTAAGCGTAGCTTGTCCGGTGTCATCGTTAAGGTAGCGTTTGATGGGTGGAACAGAACTGGACTGGACGGAACAAGATTTTTTAAAAGATGTTTGGCATGTATGGAAGAGGAACAAAAAAGGTTATTGACCAAGTTAAATGAGACTAATTCTTAAAATTTTAGTCTAATCCAAAAAGGTAGAACACAATGGAATAGTAAATATTTGACCAAAATACCAAACCTAAAATTCTACTCCTCCTCGTTTAACATTTCTTCCATTGTTTTTTTTACTTCTATTACATTTTTGTTTTGCCTCTTACATTTTCAATTGTTTATTCAAAGGGGCTTCAAGTTGCAAAAATGATAGCAGTGAATAAATATCAATTTCATTTATATTTCTTTTCTCCTTTTTATTTTATTACATTAATTTTATTAGTGATTATCGATATTATCTTCTACATCCCATTTTAATTTACTTTATAACATGATTTATGCATTTCCCCATAGAACCCGCCAAAGCCAAAAGAAATTCCAATATGTGGTCTATGTGTAAATTTTTTATTTTTAATTACTCTTTAATATGATTATTAGCACGTATTATACCCTATAAAATAGGAATAGTTTATAAACTTTTTTGATAAAGTCAAAGATGATTTAGTAATTTTACAATCTTGTTCCATTGAGTCCTAGCTTTGGCAAACGCTATATAGATAAATCATTTTAGTTCTGTCCAGTCTAGTCCTATCTTGTTATGTTCAGTTCAGTCTCGTTCGGTTCCATTACCAAACGCTACCTAAAGGTCTTGTCGTCGCAAAAAACGACGTCCCTAATACTCTGTATTCTTGTTGTGTATTATAATAAAGTTTGTAAATTTCACTAATATCATAACAAAATAAAATATAATGATTAATACAACATTAATCATTAATCAAATAATTTATATTGAGATAGAACTTCTTCAAAGCCTTAAAAGTTAACCGGTTTCTACAGCTTCACTTATTGTTTAGGCGGAGATTAATTACTAGACATCTTCTAGTCGGCCAGATGGCGCCAAAGGATTAATCGGAGATTAATCGAGATTTTTACAACACTGTTATTTTGTGCATTTAACCCTTACATTACCCATTTTTGTTTGAGGGTATTCATTATCAAATGTACACTAAGTCAATGGGACTGAATAATATCAGTCATACCTTGCCTATTTAGCCAAAACCAGAAGGTAAGTTCGGTAACATTTTTACTTTTAAGTCAAACATAATATTTTTCTTCATAAGAAATTGATGTTAAATTCATCAAGTCATTGAAAGAAAACCTGTGACTAAGTTGAAGTTACGATGGAAAATACAAAAAGAAGATTATTTTGTTAAATTCTAGTCATAGTGGTTTGATTCTATAATCTATACTTGAAAACTAGCTAGTCAGTTTGACCATGAAGTCAAAATTATATTAAATTTTATTGGGAACAAGAGGATTGGGAGCCGATGTTTGTGGCTATTTCGTGGATAATTACAGATGGAAGTTCAGTTACAATGTGAGATTTGATCTAAACTATGTTGACAAAAAAACGTTTGATCGGAATACCAAAATGTCAGCAAGATGGATCAAGATTTCTTGAAAAACAACACTTTAATTGATCATCAATCAATCAAAACTCCAGAATCACTGAAAAAGCAAACAGATTTATGATGTTGGATCGATGTGTGAATCAATGCCTGCTTGTATTTTAAATGGCACATTACTATATTTATATATACTTGGTCACGATTTTGTCGCACATAAATGTTTGTAAACACCGTATAAAATGAAAGATCGAAAAGCTTTTATTCAATTCATAGGTTACACCATATTACATGCATGCACCATCATATTTCTTAACAACAATACCATGAATAAAAAAATAAAATAAATCAATGTAAATAATGTCAATATAAGTTCTCATGAATGGTTATTTAGTATAAGATTTGAGCCTGACGAGTAGCATGCTTCTCATTTTCTATCTCGATCAAGCTTTCTTTCACCAACTCTGTTGCATATGTTACCACATCCGACCAATTCCTGTAATTTTATTCACCAAAATAAAAACCCGTTATTAATCTTTAAACAAAAACAAGAAATTTTTTAAAAAAATAACGTTGAATATGTTGAAAATACCCTTTGGTTGTGTTGAACGCGAGTCCCACGGTATTCTTAGCCTCTTCGATAGCATAACCGAATCTTTTGATCTCAGACCCTGAACACATTTTGTTATCCGAAACCCGAAGCTCGGAGGGTTTCACATCACAAAATATGGGAATAACTTTCTTCCCAGACTCCATCATCAATGCGAGTTCATGAAGGCAAAAGTACGACTGACAATATCGAGGTGAAAACACTGCTACGCCAATCTTGCACCCCAATATCGCACTGTCGATATTCTCAAAGAGCTTATCTCCAGGCTTCATGTTCTTGTTGTCAAGAAACGATGGAATTCTTGATAACAAGAGTTGATGATACAATAAAGATGCAATTGATCTCTTTGTGTCTATACCACGGTGGTTTATGAAAACATCGCAAGCGGGCTGATTTGTGGGTCGGGCTTTTTGGTATGCCATTTGGCGCTTGATTATGTTCAACATGGCTGAGCGTTGCATGGTTTTAATCTGTTTTAGGATTTGAAAGCTTGTGTTTCACGTTTGGTACGATTTCTGAATGGTGGTGCCAAAGGTTTCTATTTATATAGGTATGTCTTAATATCTTGTGGGCCATACTAAATTCTTAGGGTGAATTTTTTTCTCCATTTACATATGCAACAGTATCCTCAAATACTGTGGACTTGGTACACAGTCGACCGATTTAGAATGTATTAGTGTGTAGGTCAAGAATATCTAACTTATTTGGATTTTAAGGTCTTTTTCGAAGAGATTACAGTTAAAATATAGTTATTGAGTCTTTTAAAAAGAAAAATAACGGAAACAGTTGAATGAATCAATGTCGAGGCATTAGAATTGACAGGAGACAAATCGACAAACGACGCTTTGAATGTTTTTCAAGTTCAAATGCATGGATCGATGGAATTTCTAAAGACCCTTCAAAGACGTTTTTCACCTATTTCGTGTTCATACTCCACTATTTTATTATTAAATTCATTCTGATTTTTACATATTCACTTGGATGACATAATTTGACTTTGACATTTTTTTTGTGGCAAAAAGATTTTCGGATATACATATTGGGATCCTCATCAAATACCAACAAGCGTTAATATTGTCCGGTTTATTCAGTTTAATTGGATAACATAAATAAGTTAGATATTTCAGGAAAAAAAATAGTTTAAACTTTTTGGAACATGGTTTATCATAAAAATGGTATAGAATATACGACAAATGATAAAATGATACATTCAGTAGCAAAAGGTTTTGATTAAGGAGTTATTAAAAATGTTTTTTTTTATACATAATAATTTGTGTTATATTGTTCAACCCTATAAAATATAAACTAGCTGAGACACCCCACTACGCAGGGTGTGGATTTGTTGCAACCAATACAATGCATTTTGGTTTTTGGTAAAAAAATTAAAAAAAAACATTGTTATTTAATATATATACCACCTAAATCTGAAAAAATGTAGCAAATGGTAAGCCCGTTGATCAGTTTTTTAATCAACATAACACCTTATAGTTATTACATATTGTTGCTCTTATTATCATCACTGCAAAACAAATCACAAAACAAACATTCTTTACTCTTGATACCAATGTGGATAATCAAGTTTACTAGGATGTTGCTATTTCCACATGATTTATACAATTCCAAATACGACTCAGCCTATTGGAAATAATTAAAAAGAAAAAGAAAAAGAAAATGTTAAAAATGAAGAAAAAAAATGTGAGATTAGAATTTGCAGTTCCAGGCAGAAAACCAAAAATAAAATATTTACTTCAGTTGGTTAACACCTAATTGATCTAAATCTTGTATTCTGTTAATCCTGATTCCTATGACATACTCCATTGTAAGAACCTGCATTTAAAGGAAAGTATTGAGTCAAATAGGATAAGATTTTTTTTTTAATAAAATCTTAGATAAGCTCCTATTTGTACTGAAATATTAACACGTGGGGTATAACATTCTACTTTCATTTCTTCCTATTTTATTTAAAAATTGTACCAACTAAAGTAAAAAGCATGACATGACTTAGGTATGAGCCCCTACAACAGATATGTATTGATGCTCAGAATTTATTGCATTTAACCAAAAAAAAAAAAAAATACATGCTCGAAGAACAAGATTAATTCACCCATCTTCACTCCCTGTTATCCTCTCCATCATTATCGCACCATATGGTCTCCCTCTTTCTTCAGCTTCCTCTGATGTTTCTGTTAACCCGCCCCCCCCCCCCCCCCCCCCCCCCCCCCCCAAAAAAAAATACATAAAATTAATTAATGATATCATGTAAAATTCAAAAGAATAGGACTAGGCATACTTTAAAAATTACCATCTTGCCCATCACTGTCCCTTGATTGACATGCTGTCAATACTTTAACCTAGAAATAGTAATCCACTTTAGAAAACAAACAAAAAGTGGGAGATCTCTTTTATATGCGTAAAAAGGACTAAAATGCCCTTGTGATAGAAAATAGCCCGAGAGAGAGAGAGAGAGAGAGAGAGAGATTGTAAGTAACCCTTAAGTGGCTAATGTTGTCAGCCACCGCCTGAGAGCGTGATGCAACTTGTTCTACAAATTCCTATGGTGTAATTTATGAGAATGTTTACAACAAACACTAAAATGCACATGTGGGACGATTGTGAGTCTAACATGCACTTGTACCTGGTAGCCAACATGCAGCCTTTTTCCACCTCAGTGAAAAATTGTTTTGCTACATGATATTCATTTGTCAATTAACTAAAGCTTTTAGAAGATAATCTTTGTTTCCGACCCAATCCACTACCCTATCATGCCCAATTGTATCAAATTTGTCCAACCTCCAAACCGTATACCTCCAAAGAAAAAAAAAATTATATTAAAACAATGTATTGTACAGAGATGAAAAATAATGCAAAAGTGGTTGTACATCATGTTTAAAGAGGTCGTATGAGTCCCATCCCTTTTAGTTTTTTTCCTCAGATATCATTCATGACACCTACAACTTCTATTTGTCATGTTCAAAGAGGATATAACATACAAAAAATTACATCAATATGTTCTATTTCACCACTAACAGTTTGAAACTTACATTTTAGAATAGCCCACTTAAGCAGAAAAAATGTGGTGACAGAAATATTTCGGTATTAAATCAAGAAAAACTATGATAATAACTTAACCCTAGTAAAATTTAATATATTACATCATTAGCCTTTTCAATGGTTTCAAAAATATTAATGGCCTTGAAATTTGTGCAAACATGTGCACAGTCACTAGCTAAAAACCTGAGTAAATTAAATATTAATAATAGTAACTTTTATGTAAAATGTAAAGTTCCAGTGATAAATTAGATGTAGAAGAAGTTTAATTACATGGGAGGAATTCGACCCAACAATGATGAACCCAATATTTGCTCCTTCACTAGCAAAGTTGCAATCTTAAACTGCTCCAACAACACCAAATGCTCCAGAGCAACCATCCATAACACCAACATAACATTCAACATCACCATCTTCTGTCAAATTCCAAGCTCTTCCAGCATTTATGCATGTATCATTCTACAGTTAAGCATTCAAGAAATTAGTTTTACATAATTCTTTAAGATTGTTGTAATACAAAGAAAAATGAATTTTATCCTCTGAAAGTCTAATCATACTATGAGCAAAATCAGAGTTGGAAAAGAAGAAGGTTTACCATATGTATACACAGCGAAAGTAGACATACCACCAAGCTCTCAATAGCTGCTAATACATCATCTACACATACACCGCATCCCTATAACAAAGCAAATGAGCATGAAAAACTATACAAAATCAACCAATGAATCATCAATCTTTAAAGTAGAAATCTATAGCTGTTTCAACGATTCTAATTAAGCTTCAAATCATCAGGCTAAATTCTCTTTTCCATTTAGTAGCCAGCATTATCAAACAATAATAATGAGTTAAAAAACTTCATAATCACATACATTCCCTCACTTCCATGGAAATTACAGTTCTTGTTAATTT